TCAAGGCTTTTCTTCGAAATTCTATGACCCAGGATGCTGGCCATTGAAAACGGATTTATTTCGACCATGGAGAATTTCAACGGGAAGGTGATCGACAAATTTGCTGCCAAGAAGGAGCGCAGGATCGAACTGACATATAAAAAATAGGTAAGTTCAGATTTGCGGAACACCTGTTTTATTTTGCCACGAGCCGCCACTGGTCGCTGGTAACCATTAGCAGATCCTATTGTAAGATCTCTTGGACTTGACATTCCAAGATTATAACGACTGCATCCCTTGACAAAGCAATATTTATTTGCCTGAACCATCCTGGAAATAATTTGTTAATGATTAGTAGACTTGTATATGAAGTTTGACTAGCATTTTAACTAAAAGTACATACTTGTACTCGTTCAACAAAGAACTTGGACAAAAGAGACTACTTTTTTCTAGCATTAAAATACGAGGTGATGGTACCTCAGATGCTCTTGCCTATGGGGAATATTATATTACTCACTAATAGAATATCACTTAACTTAAGGAATAACGGTTTCGGGTTCCGCGAATAAGACGATAGTGAAATTGGTTGAAAAATCTATTTTGAAAACAATATGCAATAAACCCATGATGAAGCCATCTCAATCTTTGGATGCTAAAACAGAAATTCTTACCATACTAAAATTATGTATCAAAATATTCTTATAGATCAACATAGGAATACGGATAGTACTGTTTTTTTTTTTGGTATTGTCTTCAACACTTTACTCTGAGAAACTCCAACTTGAGCTGCTGTGACTTTAGCATTACATTTACAAACATCCATGGGGCTGGATGATTTCTTATATACAACCTGTATGCTGCTGCTGCATTTTTTTGGCGCTCTGCATATGTCCACTGGTTCATTGTTTTAGTAAGCATGGGCCATTTGTTCGCACAAAATAGTCAGACAAATGAAAATACACGCACTATTAAAACACTGATACCACTGATCGAACGAAAGATTCGTAGTGAAAACCATACAAAAACCCAAAACGTTTGCCAAAATTATATAAATGACAAGAGTAACGCGAATATGTTACATGGCAGTTGTGAAATAACATTCTTATTTTATGAAATGTTTAATCTTCTACTATTTCTTTTATTATGCAACTTTTATCTAGGTAATGTTTGGTATTTCAACACCTTTTGACGGTTCTTACATGAGTTAAAATGAATGACTCAACATTGAAAACTTAATAGCATAAATTGGGATTCCGAATTCCAGATTACAACATACGAGGGATGTCTTTTAAGTTTTGCATATGGAAATAACACAACACGGTAGGTAGTTTTAAATGACTTTATTGTTTTTCGAAGTATTCTCCATGAAGATTAATACACATCTGCATGTGCTCGAACCAATTTTCGAAGCACTTATTACACTCGTTTGCTGGCAGAACCAAAACGGCATTTTTGAATGCGTCAACTCCTTCTTCTGCTGATTGGAACCTTTGACCACGCAGTCTGTTTTTAATTTTCGGGAAAGTAGAGAAATCGTTAGGACTTAGATTGGGACTATATGGAGGATGGCCCAATAATTCCACGTTTTCTTTCGTTAAATACTGCCTTGCTTTTTGGGCTGTGTGGGAGCTTGTATTGTCTTGGTGGAGGATGATTCTTCTTCCGGGGTTGATTTTTCGAAGCTCGATTTTTACTAAAGGGTGAGGTTAAGATTCAGTACTGACGTTCGATCCGCGCGGCCTACTATGTTTCTATATGCAAAACTTAAAAGACATCCCCCGTATTAACATTCGTTTTTCTACCTTTCGCCTACGGTGATGCATTTCGGCATTTGAGAGGCATTAACAACCTTTCTTTTTTAAATCGGTCCTTTTCAGCGCCGCAACAAAAAAAATCAAAAAAAAATTAGTTTAAAAAAATAAGAGATTAAGAGATTTTCGTATAAAATTTTCGTTGGTTTAAATTAGGAACAAGATATCGAGATGCCGTTTTCGCGAGCTTGTTCAGACATTACTTAGCTACTTTTTATGTAAAAAATCGTACCAATGAATTTAATTTTTTGACACAATTTTTGTTGGGGTGTCGAGAAAAGCCCTCTAGGGACCACATGTGGAATAACAAAGCCTCAAATATTATAACATTTGTAGCCCAAGAATAGCTCTTTACAACTAGCTGAAGTTTTTTGGAATTGGCTTGGCCATTTCGTAAAGATACAGGGTCCTTTTTACGGAAACCTTTGAGTATCCCTCCTCCATCGCTTTTAGAGATTCAGTAAAACTTGTCAAGCAAAAAAAGTTCACATTATCCCTGACTTTAAAGATCAGGTATTCTTTTGTTAGGTTTCTGTTACGGAATTCACATAAACATCATTACTTTGGACTCAAGATTAACACATAAATATAAAGACATTTCCCTGGTGTTTCTCTTTGCTGTTTTAGTAATAACCTTTCTTGCCGCACGCCTCTGCGATGGATAGGCACCTCGCATTTTTAATTGCTTAACATATGAAACCAAAGCTGCCTCTCTTCAAAAGGAGCTTTGGTCCCAGGATTCAGATTCACCTTCCTCCATAGCAGCCGAAAATGCAATCGCAACTCGCAACGCAACCGGCTTTAATCCTTATTGGCAGTGAAGGCAGTCGCTTCCGCCTGGAGCTCGGCTGGTTCTAGTTCGGTTTCTTACACAGTCCACCGCCTATTTTGAATAACGGCTGTCGCCGCCATAATGATTCAGATAAGATTTTCAATTTCCCCGGATAATTGCCGACCGTATTACGGAGAGCGAGAGATAGCAGCTAGAATCCAAGACCCAGCCATTAAGTTATGTACTCTCGGGGGCTTGCACTTTCCTAAAACGGATCGGAGATTCGGACGATAACGTTGAGGGAGTGAGCGGAGGGGGATAATGAATCGCAGATCGTCGCCTGCCTAGAACTAAATGGATATCGATCCCGCTAGCTACAGGCTATGGACACCTTGAATCAGGATGCTCGGTCTACTTACGAGCCTATCAGCTGATTGTAAACACCAGAATTCATGTACTAATTAGCTAGCTGCCCGTATGGTATAAGATTACATCTTGATTCCAGAACTACAGACAAAGAAACCGGAATTGAAAAATAAATAAATAAGAACATCTGCGTCGTAACCTTAGTCTAGAATATAGAAAATGAAAGTTGTTTTTTTGTGGTATTTGGCAGATGAGGTTTCTATCTTATCTCTGTTTAACGACGACGTAGATGAGGAAACTAAAGTACAATATGCTAACTATTGAAATAAGCCAGCATAAACTGCGATTCTAGCTGGAATATCCTGCCTGTAAAAAGAAAAGTTTGGAATGAAAATTTAGTAAATATCTAAGAAATGCAAGATACAACCCACACCCCGCATTTAAGATTTAAATCGTCAACACTCTTATGGCCCACCCTGTACATCCAAACGAATGTAACGATTAATCATCCCCTTAAATAGTTTCCTTTAACTTGGAAGCATCATTTATATAAAAATACCGGTTATTTCTTACAAAATAATTCGACAGCATCCACCAAACGTATTTGCACTTCCGGCATGTCGGAAGCCGCGCTGTTGCAATGCATCACGCAGGGCGTCAATCACAAGTAATTCCAGTCGGACGTACACGTCGGATGCTCTAATAGAATCCGGTGAGGTGGTCGGCTGTGCCCACCCTGCCCGCCAACACTATTTACGACCCCATCCGATCGCGGAGTGCTCTGGACTGCGACGCGGAATATCGGTGCTTAGGCTGTTGATTGTTGTACTTCACGCACACCCGACCACTTGAATAATCTCACACATGTTTTCTCCAAGTTTTCTTTGAGCTGCTTTATAAGACTGTACTTATTGTCTGTTGGATTATTTTAAAAATAAGGTTCCCGCGTTTTTTTCAGGAACAAGGTATTTTTCATTTGAAAAAACGATTTCACCATTGGAAACGTTGATTTTTAAGATATTATTCACCATAGTCGCTATGTTTCTCAACGCATTTTGGAATCCACTTTTGCACTCTCGCCTCAAGGAAGTCCACCGCTAGCCCGTTTAGAAACTTGGTAACTGCCCCTTGCGACTCCGTCTCGAACTGCCTAGATGCTTCTTCAATTTCGGAAAGGCTCGTAGACCCCTTGCCATGTTTTTCAGTGTTGGGTAGACCACTACTTGCCTGATATTGATTTCCTGTAAATTTCTAACTGTAGTGAAGTTTAGTGTTAAAAACTTAAAGTAAAAACACATGTTAATTTATACATTTATTAATTGAATTTAAATTGAAACTACTCAAAATAAAATTTTGTATCTGTTATGTAAAATATACGTAACATTAAATAAACAGGTGTCTGACCAATAATTGCCCGCATTGGGAATAAGTGCACGCATTGAAAAAAAAAATAAGAAGGATAAAATGAAAAAAAGTGATAAATAACAAAAAAAAAGTTTTTTACTTAAAATAGTACAATAAGCGAGTTCGTTCATTAATTATAACATAAACGGATGTTCTACAATAATTTAGCTGTTAGTTTGATTAAATTCCGCTTCTTATACGTTTAAGTTATCTAAAAATAGGCAAAAAATTAACAAATTTCAGTGTGTACCTGTCCTTGAATTTTCAGAATAATTTTAAAAAAAAAATTTTTTCTATAAAGGGGGGTTCTTTAAAAAAATCAATGCGGGCACTTATTCCCATTGCGGGCATTTATTGGTCAGACACCAATAAACATAAAATAAACTATAAATAAAATAACATAAGCCAATAAGTCAATATTTTTAGTGAGGTGGATGAACCTGATGCTTTAATAATAAATTATCAAGATTTGGCGTCAATTTTGTAAGGGTTAATCTTAAATCTCCTCGGCTCATGATGTCCAGTCCGTTTCTTTTTTTCGTTAGGAGATTGGTAACAGCGCTGAACCCCCTTTCCACTAGGTATGACGATGGAAAGGAAATTAAAAATTTCCTCGCTATATTCCATAATACGGGATAAGTAACGGGTATGTTGTTTTGCAGCCAGAATTACTGATATCCATTTTCAAACTGAACCTTAAGTTCTTCGATTGTACTTAGTTCAGTCAGTTCCTCTTGTATTATGACATTCGTTTCTTCTATGTCACCGTATGGATTAATTATCCACGGTAGTATTACCATAGTCAAAATATCCTCAAATCTAGATTCAAAATCTGAATAGAGATCATTTAAATGTTGAACGTAAGTTAAAACGTCGTCTTCCTGGTAGCTTGTCTGTGACAAATTGGGGAACTGAGAAAATTCGCCCCGTCCAATATTTTGCTTCATTAGTTTAACTCTGGCAAGAAACGCTGATAAGATTTTAATCAAATTTAAACTGTCGCCTTGTAATTGCAAATTAAACATATTAAATTTTGTAAACAAATCTGTTAAATAGACGATGTCTGTTTTCCTCTTCATTAAATTTTCTTTTAAAATTTTATCTTTAGTATCCAGAAATTCTAAAATAGTCCCAAAAAGTGCAAAAAATCTTGTCAAACATAAGCCTTTCGACAGCCAGCGTACTTCAGTGTGAAGGAGTGATTGATGAAAGTGTTCGTCATTTTCTTCACACAACTGCGCAAATAACCGCGTATTCAACGCGTTGCTTCGGATTCGGTTTACTGCATCAATGACTAAATGAAGTGATTCATGCAATCTAACACTCAAATCTTTAGCAACTAAATGTTGTCGATGGATGACGCAATCTATTGCTACCACCCCTGACACGTTTTGTTTTAAATAGCTTATAAATCCACGATAACGTCCAACCATGGCAGGTGCTCCATCTGTAGCTACTGATATTATATTTGATAAAGGAATTGCTTTTTCAATGAAGTAATCCTTCAAAACATGAAATATTGATTCACCTTTAGTGTCGGTTATCAAAGTTCTTGCGAAGAGCAGTTCTTCGTAGATTTCTTGATTCATAATAAAACGAACATATGCCAATAATAATGCTGCATCATCAGGTAAAGTTGACCCGTCCAGTTATATAGAGAAATGGGTCGTTTGTAAATAATTACATAAGAAGCTTTCAATATCAGAACTCATTTCATCAATACGTCTTTCAACAGTATTATTGCTTAAGGGAATTCTTTTAATGATATGTAAATTAACTTCTCTCCGATAGTATGCGGTTTTCCGGATTTTGCTATAAGTAACGAAATATTGTAAGACGCCCGCAAACCAGCATCATTTCTTTGAGACGTCGAAGCGAACATTCTGTCCAGTGTAGGTCTCTTCTGAAATTGATCTTTGAGTGTTTGAAAGTATTTCAAATCTTTCTCTGTTTTATCAGGGTGGCATCTTCTCAGATGATCTTGCAGTTTAGATGGTTTTATACAAAAACAAAACTTTGTTGCATAAAAGGCACATAGGCGATTGTTTGTCCGACAATGATGGAATGAAGCCAAATTTCAAATAATCAACACTGTACTGTCTACATTTCTTTTTAGATTCGGACATGGCATCAGTCATCTGTGGGCAAAATTAAATTATTTAAATAAGACAGAAAATCCAGCAGCTGTATATTAAAAATATTTTTGATTTTTCCGAAAACATTCCATAATTCGAACATCTTCTTGCAACAATTAGCTCGAATTACGGAGATTGTACTGCAATTATATTACCGATTGCTAAAACTTTCAAAAAGAAACTATTGAGGAGTACGCGTGTAATTTTACATGACTGAATATTTAACTACTAATAACTAAAGTCATGATTGGCGTAATTTATCTGTCTTTGCTAACTACGAGTACAAAACTAAAATTTAATAAAAAATAATGTACTTACTTTTCTCCAGCACTGTCAAACAAAATAACACTGACTCACTATAATTTGTGTGATATACTATATGTTTATATTTTTTAAAATATTTTCTTAGCACTTTCCTTTTCTCCTTTTCAAGATTCAGGAAACGAATAAACGTATTTGTCCCACATTCGTATTTATACAGTGACGAATTGAACAAATCAGTGCAAGGCAGCGAAGCTCTGAGACTGCGACTCTCAGGTTTTTACAAGTTCAAAATGTATTGCGACCACAAAGCGAATACCAACATCCTACAACTTACACAATTTTATAAACATATATAATAATTCTTTTACTTCATAGGTACTTTTATAAATAATGTATATGTTTTGATATTGTAAGATAGTATGATGTAAGTAAATAGGTACTATCAGTGTATGTGTTGAGGTCCACTATCGTGGACCCCCATATTCATTTCATGGACCTCCAAATTTTTTTTCGCTGACGTAGACCCCTTGCAGGTTGTCAGAGACCCCTAGGGATCGATATAGACCACTTTGGGACTCATTGCTTTAGAGTGTCCGCCTCAGCTTCTTCGGAAGCCTCAGGAATTTCAACCGGCTGTTCCCGGATCGTGATTCGCCGATCTTCGAGCAAGATTTGCTCAATCTTGGCCACCACTTCCGCAGAGATCGACGGCCTCCTGCTTCGTTCTTCATGGTGGATGTCCATGTTTCACGTCGCGCCATATGCTTCACTCAAGTGGCGATGAATTCTTACCAAACATCGCAAATAGGTGCTTCTTGTTGGGATCGGTGACGGGGGAGACGAAAAACACGATGGTAAGTGCATTTATCTACTGTCACCAGATTGTGATATAGATGACGTCTTTTAATATAATACAATACAATATATTACAAAGTGATGGCGATATATATAGTGGTTTTATATAAAACTTTCTAATTAGGTTTCGTAGATTGCTAGTTAACCTAAGCACATGTTGCTTCCATTTAAGATTTTGATCTATTATTACACCAAGGTATTTGGTGTATGGTACCTCTTTTATTTTATTTTATCCACATTTAAACTAAGTTTAGATGAATCAAGCCAACATTTTGTTTTTTTCTAATCCAAGAGATATTTCTTCATATACATCTTCCCATGTTTCCGCCACAAAGACCACGACGGTGTCATCGGCGTATGAAACCACCAAATCATTTTATAGAATAATATCTGTCCAAGAGTTGATATATAATATAAATAGTAATGGCCCAATAACGGTGCCCTGTGGTATGCCCATTTCTATTTCTGACGAGTCACTGATCACATTTCCGGCGTTGTCCTCCTATGGATATATTATATTTATTTACTCGTTTCATGTTCCCTGTATTTTAGAGTAAATAAATATTATTATTATTATTATTATTTACGTGTTGTAAGCAAAAGCTCTTCTTCATTCTGTGTTTCGTTTGTTTCCGATAGCCTCAAAATTCTACTGATATTTCTGCGTATTTCACGAGACACTCGATCATTTGCTAGTCTTCCGAGCCTGGCTGAAATATCTCAGCCTTTATTTTGGTTCTCGGCTTGTACCTTCTGATAATTTATGTTGGGAACGTCGAAGCTTCAGCATTACACGTCTCTGAAGTTTCAAGGTTTCAGAAATATTTCGATCCTTGAACATTACATACTAGGACGAGCATTTTTGTTTGCAAAAGTCCAATCTGGCCTGCGGACATGGATGCATTACTGGCAAGCGGATCGAAACGAATTAGTGAGAGGCACAGCACCAACCTATTTGGACCTATAAACATCTTTTTTGCTACATCAGCACTGCTCATCGACGTAATCTCACACTCCGCAAATACAAATTCCGTCATCGATATAAGGATTACCTGCAAAGTGCGCTCAGGCTCATAAATTTTCATTGACCAGCATAGCATCGCGCATTACATGGACGCGTCTACATACGCGAACCAATTCGACGTCAATTATTAATTAAAAAAAAACGTTATCGTCAAATCACGAGCCTTTCAGGAGCACTTGCGAAAAAGACATAAATTTTTCATGATCACTCATGCACTTGCAATGTTTGTACACAACTTAATCTTTAAATTGTTTAATAAAACGTGAACATTTCCTGCTGCTGGGGCGAAGGCAGTTAAATATTATTTTGTTAGCACCTACAATTTGAACACAGCTTCTTTCTACGATTTTGAACTACTTTTGAATACTTCTGCATTCTCGCTTGTGTTCCATGTGTAACTGTTTGAATAATGCACATAGCAGAATTTATAATTGTGTAGTGTCTTAAATGTTATATTTCTTATGTCTATTACTGCATGTTTGTACCGTATAAACCTATGTCCCTCAAAGTTCAACGTTAGAGAATCCCATCCTTACAGCAAGGAGCTAAGCACAGCCTGCAGCTGTTACAGATCAAGAAGCACGTGGGCGGCTTGCGCTCTGAACAAAAATGAGCACGCATTCCGGCGAATAATGAATACATATTTTCTTGACACTGATAAATATGGAAGCGGCTGCGCCGTTTTCCAGAGATTTAAAGAGCGATGTAACTGCTCTTTTATACGCACCCCACCGTGTAACGAATTCAACGAAAAATGAATTCACCTGGGTAGGCTTTTGAAGCTTTCAGCTTTTGCTGTTTTTGTCTGATTTAATTAATATTTCACATCCGGAGAGGTCCGTATAGGTCATCGCACCGAAATTTCACAACGAAAAACGTAGGGCGTGACAATTTTATGGAAATAGATAGATTGCATACAAGTGCAGGTATATGCAAGTGTGTACAAGATCCCAGTTGCACATAGCTCTTACGTTTCCTGGCCTCCAAAGTCCACCGAATTGCCACGTTGCATCAGCGCATAAGGTAGTTCAAAAAGCATCTAGGAAATTACATACAATTCAGACATAATTTAAAGAAATGTTTGATTTTTGAATTAAATTCATGTTTTAATTACTATTGTTGATTTTTTATTCATGTTTATATTATTTTCTTCAATTGATATGCAATTTTACTGATTTAACATCAGCTCCTGTGCTTTTTCCTGTAAACCTCTTGCAGATAGCCATTAAGCACCTACTTGATAGCAGGCTCTACCAAAAGGTTCATAGATGTCGCTTGTTTCCAACCAGTCATTCATTTACTTGCCGTTCATCAGAACCATTATGGCACCTTAGACTGATATTCCCACAAAACCATTTAGGTCTTTTGATATCCATACATCCATAAAGTTGAATATTTTTTGTTGTTCAGGAACTGAACAAACATCCACACTATATTCACAGCGATTAAGAAATTCCCAAATATATGTCTTAAAGCTACCAGCAAACCTAAAAGCTGCAAAAAACTACAAATTTGCCATATTTTTCTTTTTTCACGAGTACACATTCTAGGTTATATTTATATTAGACCCAGTCACAAAACATATACTCTGAAGAAGATTTAATTCCATGCTATTCAATGACAACACGTGGCTTGTGTGGTTGTCAGCGGCCATTTTGTGACAAAATGC